CAGTTGTAAGACCCATCTTTCCATCTCTAACACAGTTTTGTGTTGTATACCTGTTTCACTCACCCTGTGAACATGTTGATTGGGTTCACACATTGCAGACGGCCATAACTTCACAGTGGTTTGTGAATAAGGTACAATGGATTATATTCACATAACATGATGCATCATAAATTGGGATGGGCAATCTACCTGGCTATGAACCTAGCTGAGAATATAAGTTCAATTTTTTAAAAAAATGTAAGATATTTTTATTCTTGGAATAATGAAATACAAAGGAAAACAAGGTCTACGCTGGTATAGTAGCAGTTGATTAAAACAAAAAGAACAACTACTAAGCGTAAATAAGACATTCATAAAAACATCATGGAAAAACTTTCTAGTAGCACATTTGCCCCTTCCCTTCTGTCTATTTCCCCAGTAGCTGACCACAAACTAGATATTTATACTTTCCATCAAAACGAAAGATTATTGCTAGTATCTATTTAAGTCCTTTCATCTATTATTTTTGACTGGTCTCATAATTTTTTTTCCTCAAAATCATATTCCAAATATTTAAATTTGCCCTGCTGTATAATGTGTAGTATATACAGGAGCCATTCTTGCTTAAATTGGATTAAGCTTCTATTATGGATATATAATGACAATTTTGCCATTGCTGCATATTCTCCAATTTTGGTGTCCCAATCTGATATATCAGCAAAGTTCCTTTTTTCCACCATTGTGCCAGATTAGTTCTTGTAGTTGTCAGCATTTATCTTACTAAATTGTGATATTTTTCATTTATGTTTTCTGGAATTATACCTAACAAGAACCTTTGTAGTTTTAGTTCAAATATTATTTTTAGGATTTTCTGAATATTTTGATGTATTTTTTCCCAGTACTTTTGAGTTCTTTTACACAACCACCATATATGATAAAATGTTCATTCTCTGTTATGGCATTTCCTACATTTATTTTTATATGTTTTTTCTATCTTGGTCATTATTGATGGAGTTATATATCAACTGTAAAATGCTTTTTACCAATTTTCCCTTAAATTATAACTTGGAATAAATTTTATTAATGTTTTCTATAGTTACTCCCATTGTTGTAACTGTGATTATTTCTTTTAAGTTTTGCATTCACTTTATCATATAATTTTTTTTATTTGTTCCATCTCCATGTCATATTTCAGTAGCAATTTATATATATGTCCTAATAGGTGATCTTTGTTTTGTATGAGTTACAAATTCTGTCATCTTTCTCAAAGTCCTTGGTTCCTTCATGAGATCACTTTTTATTTTTCTAGAAATTTGTAAATACATCAATCAAATTCCTACCTTCATTGAGCAGCTCTTGCTACGTTTCCTGAATCTTTGTATTGGCCTGTGGGATTAAATCTTTCTTATTACAGTTGCTGCTGAAGTAAAAGGCATTTGATGGTAAAGCTAATGGTGAAGTTGCTGGACTTATTTTTTATTTTAAAAGATTCCATCTTTTTTTATCTCTTATAATCTGTCCTTTCAAATTGTTTTCTTCTTTTGTTTCCTTATACAATAAATACCAATGAAGTCCATTGGCTAAGCTGGCTCCTTCTATGACTGATGTTTTAATATTTAGGGATTTTATCCATTCTGTTAGTTCATTTTTACTGTCACAATAAATCCCAGCCAAGAAAGTTTTAGGTTTTCCAAGATCTTTTTTATATCTCTCCATAATTTATTATAATTGCTCTGAAATACTATATGTCTTTATTAATTCCTGTCAAATGAATCCCAAATATTTCACTGTTTTTTTGTTAAGCTCACATCCAGACTTTTTTTTTCCAAAGCCATCTTCTTGTGGGGTTAAATATCTTGCTATTATCTTTGTTTTCTTTTCATTGATTTTACATCTGGAGAATTCACCAAAGACTTTGATTATTTTCATTAACTTTCTTATAATTCCCTGTGATTGCATAATGATAGTGCTACAGTACATCATCTGCACAGCCTTTCAACTTGTATTCCTCTCCCTGAATTTTAATCCCAAGTATTTGTTTTGTTTCTCTCTAAATCTTGTTTGCTAAAGCTTCTAAAGCAATTCCAAATAATAAGAGAGAAAGTGGGCACCTTTGCCTGGTGCCTTTGCTTATTGGAAAAGTTGTGAAGAGTTTTCTATTTACCATAACCTTTGCTGTTTGCTATTGATATATGATCTCCACCCAAATTTTAAATTCTTCTCCTGGATTCATTTTGTTTAAAATGAAGACCGGTTCACATTTTTGTTCAGTAATCAAATGCAGATACAGTACAAACAGATATTCCTCTTATCAGGGTCAAACTACTTTCAGTCATTATGCTTGGATATTTCATTGGGTTTCTCATTTAGTCTATCCAACTGAGTTGTTGTGAAGTTTTTTAAAAAATACTGGTTTGTTAGTTAGATTGAGAACTTACTAATCAAGCACTATTTAAGTTACATGCTTTTGTTTTAGTTATGTCTGACCATTCGGCATCAGATGTTTACAGGTGTTCCCTTTACATGCCATTTACTATTAATAAAGACATGGTTAGGAAACATTTTAAGTACAAAATGCTCTGGTTTATGACAGTATGTCACTTGGAGTCTCTGGTTCCAAATTAATTATGTCCCAGTTCTCTTTGCAAAACTGAAGCTACATGTTTTCTTGCATATTTAACTATACAAGTATGTTTTAAATGCCCTTTAGGGTGAAACACTATACTTCTTGTATTTCTGCATGCCACTTTGCTGCTGGAAGGACAGAAGCTCTGACAGCAAGCCTCTTTCTGTAACATTGTATTATTTGTAGGGGAAAGGTCCTTTTTTTTTTCAATTTAGAAGTTAATTTAACTTGGAACATGATCAAATGACCTTCTACAGAAGAAATTCTTTCCCAACTTGGGGGGAAAGAATTTCTTCTGTAGAAGATCATTTGATCATGTTCCAAGTTAAATTAACTTCTAAATTAAAAAAAAAACGATCAGAAGAAAGTTTCTAATTTAGTGGTTTTTTTCCTTTCGAAGCAGGCTTTTATCTTCAGAACAGCTGTCCTCTCTAGAGGAAAACTTGCATTAAGAAAGTGGTAGAAGAAAGTGGGAATTGGTAGCATGTTCTATACATTCATAGTTTGCAAAGCTAGACTCCTGCAAGGCTATCAGAGTTGGTAGTACCTTATCCATCCCTTACTCATTGCTTGGAAAAGCATACCTACGTGTGCAAAGGAGCCTTCCTCAGCCAGATGCCAGATGTAGGCACAGCTCCCAGAATTGGCCATTTTGGTTGATAATTACCAGAGTTGTCCCACTGCATCTGTACTTCCAATGTATTTGGAGGTTGGGAAAGACTAATATATTATGTTACCAAGCACCAGAGCTACAGTCATTCTTCTTCTGCTTATCCCCTTGGCTAAAACACCCTTCTCTCATAAAAACCATCCTCTGAAATAATGAGAATATTGCTTTACTTGCTCCATCTCTTATTCCATATGAAATGACAGCTGGACTGAGTGGGAGCAATGTGGAAATTAATGTGTGGAAAGACTTGGTGACTCACCGGTGACTGTTTAAAATCAAGCCTTCTCCTCCGATGTTTTAGCACATGGCTTCTCTTCAGTTTGCTCAGACAGGGCAATATAGGCCATTTGTGGGAGGGAATGGGTAGAAGAATAGGACAGAGAACCATGAGGCAGAACCTTCAGCATATTAAAATGAAAATTGATTCAGCAGCGCAGAGGAAAACTGTATTTGCATTTCTAGTCAATATTACTTTCAGTACTATATTTTCGAACAAGCAAATTCCTTTTGTAATATTACAGCCCATTTCTGTGTGTAATTCACATACATTTTAGTAATGGATTAGGTGGTGGTTTTTTTTAGGAAAATGTGCTAATACAATTGGAAATTATGTATCTTTAGACAGAAATTAACAGTTGTTCTTTATTCTGAAATAAATGCACAGCTTGAGATCTATGTTTGTTCTTGGATTTGTTGGTGCATTTATAGAACAAACAGTGGCTGAATTTCATTCCAAGATTTATAGTCAAACCTTTTGTGAGCTTGCTCAGAAGTGAATGATGCTGAATCCAATGGGGTATAAATCTTAACAAGGTTCATTTCAATGCTAGATTGCAGTCTTAGGCACACAGACTTGGGAATAAATCCCAAACTGGAACTGACTGTTAAACGCACATAATACATACTTTCTTGAATTTATAGCTTGGATTTACAGCTTGGATTTGCCTCAGAAAATTCTACCACACAGTGGAGGCAACATGATTCTCCTCTTTGAGGTGAAGAGGGGACATGATTTGTCTTGAAGAGGTGCTTCACTCTTCCTCACTGCCAAGTCTTCCTCCAGCAGTTCAAAATAGCCAAAGGAGGCATGATGTGAAGTAAGGCAGAGTGAAGCAATGTGGCTGCTTTGCTGTTAGAAAATGGCGTTGGTGTTGGGGAATATTATTGCATGAAAGGGTTCCAAAATGCTTCATTTTCACAGTGCTTTCAAAGCTCTGCACAACTGTAGTATGTGCAGTTTCCCAATAGATATTAATTTGATGAGGCTATATAAAAACCATAACCGCTTTAAAGTGAACACTGTGGAACCTGTGAAGTGCTTTCAGATACCCTTTCTTCATCAGCACCTTGAAATGATTCTCTTAATTGATCTTTATAAAAAGTTTAAGGAATTAAAACAAAGGTACATGCCATCATCTTTAACAATGCATTAAATCAGAAAATCAAATACTGATGCATGTGTTTAAAGTCAACCTAAATGTTTAAGTGGAGCAAGAGAAAACCCTGATTTCGTTGCTCTAGAAAAAAAAGTGTGGTACTCTTTCCAGTCACATTTCATTTTTCTGATGAAGGTAGCAGGGATTTCTGTGGCATCCTATTCATATCTCCCTTTGGATTTAGGAATTCTGATTGTAGTGTAGTAACTTCATCTTCAGAATTCAGGAATTCTGGTGTGTAGTAACTTCATCTTCAGATTTGATTATATACTCTGTGTTGTTTCTGCAGGAACATGGGAGATACACAGCTACTTATCTCCTGATTGTATCATTGCATTCCTGAAGGTCTTTCCAAGCCAGTGGTAATGGAACCACTGAATGGAGCTGATGGACAGCCAGAACAACAAAGCAAGACAGAACCATCTCTGAAAGGTGTTGCGCACCATTGCTGGGCAGCCTGGTGGAATGGGATGACAACAGGCGGAAACCTGTATCTCTTTGTCCTCTCACTGTTACTGGTAAGGATTCCATCTTAACTGTGATGGATATTGTTTTCTGAAAAAAGAAAAGGAAAACATTGCTTTTGTTTTTTTTAGATTCATACATTTTAGGGGCAGATTTCCCACGTCATAAATGCTGATATAGCTGAAATTAAATCAAAAGATGTTCCATGTTACATCAGGTAACTCAGTCTTTTTATTCAAGTTAATTTTGCAGCTACAAAAAGCCTGTGCTTTAAAAATAGATATGATTATAAATAGAAGATTCTTAATTGAAATCTTGGATTTGCTATGCGAACATAAAATTAAAGTGAAGTAACCTCACTATTAATTATCTGTTTAAACTGCGCAGGTTTTCTTCTTTATGTTTTGGTGTGGTGGATGTGAGACAGTCCCAGCAGTTCAGGATATTTTTGCTGTCTTGTCCAACCTACTTCATCCATTTCAACAGCTGGATTCAGATTCTAACAAGGTATGTTCAGTGATTTCAATATACTTCAATGTGGTGTATCAATCTATGATCTTCTTGGGTAATGCTAATGAAATATTAATAATGGATGTAATACATAAAGTAGTATTTGGTATACATTATGCCTTGAAAACTGCAAGGACTCGTCCAAGCAGTCACTGCAGAGTCAGTAATGACTGAGCGCAGATTAAAAAAAAAAATGAATATCTTCTCTAGCTAATGATGAATAAAAGAGCCATTCTGAACTTGACATTAGCAGCGTACAGACCTCATTGAACAAATGGATGCTAATGAAATATTAATAATGGATGTAATACATAAAGTAGTATTTGGTATACATTAGAAACAGTCAGTAATGACTGAGCGCAGATTAAAAAAAAAAATGAATATCTTCTCTAGCTAATGATGAATAAAAGAGCCATTCTGAACTTGACATTAGCAGCGTACAGACCTCATTGAACAAATGGAAACTGCATAACATCGGCTGCTAAGTGCACCATAATGTCTGTAATAGACAGGCAGACAAAGCTATTCACTTTGAATGAATGTTTTGTGTCATTTCTCTCCCTTTTTTCAAAAAGATGTTTGGAAACAGAAACTCTTAAGCTACATCCAAAATCACATGAGTGAATTTCCATTTGCAAATAGAACTTCCCTTTTGTTTATACCAACCTTCCTAGTACACCCCATGTGCTTCCCAGATCCATTTCAAAAGATCCTCCAGAGCAGATTTGGGGGCTGTCAAGTGGGTTCCAGAGTGAAAGAGAAATTCCCTCAGCCATGACTGAATATAACCTGTTATAATTTCCTGAACTTAGAAAACCCAGTGGGCATCATGATTCCAGTATATAAGTACTGGAAAACAAGCACAGTTGTTTTATTCCTTGTGTAAAACTGCTTTATTCATACCTGAGTTATGTCAGTTCAGGAAAATTATCTGAAAAATATACCCCAATGATAATATAAAATGTAATTGCATTGCATTTTCTATGATACATTGTAGAGATTTCATGGATGGGAGTGCTCTGAGCTATTGCCACATCCCTATTCATCTGAGTCCTTTTTCTTCATTCTTTGCTCTTGGCTATACTTCTGATTCATTTCTTCTCTTCCATTGGCCTTATACCACCATACAGATCAGGAGTCCTATTATAATTATTTCCCTTCTCCAAACTCTAACTATACATCTCTTGCCACCACAGTTGCTATTGCAAGACTCATTTTCTTTGTAGACAGTGATGTGTTGTAAAAAAAAAAAAAAACATCAGCAATAGGCTTATATTACTAAAGCAATTACTTCATTTGTCTTTACCCCCTTCTGCCTAGAGGTATGGAGCTTCAGCTGCTACCAGGGATGTTAATGGAGCTTTCTGGTCCTTGAGAGCAATCTTTCAGACAGAGGCCATGTAGACAGAGTGAGTAAGAGAGCTCAGGTGCTGATGCTTCTTTCTTACTGCTGCTGCTCCTACTACAGCAGTAGGACTGAACCCACAGGAGACTTAGAAGGAGAGGAAGAAAGTGCCCAGTAATGAGCACAGGGGAAGCCACCAAAACTTCTCAGAGCAATGTTTCTACCACATGGTCCAGTTCTTCCTTGCTGCCCCATTTCTGGGTGAATCTAGGAGTAGCAATTATGGTTCTGTAGAGAATAAAGAGGATGAACGTGGCAAGAGAGGAAAGATAGTTATCAAGGCAACAAGTAGGTAAACAAGATTCTGTTACTATAGCCAATCTTAATAAAAGTAATTTTAGGCCTATGTGGTCTACCTTGTAGGGCTGACAGGCTCCTCTCTCACTCACCAGAAGTCTATTTTCAAGCTGCTCTCAGGAGTCAAGGAGGAATGGTAATAAAGGTCGCTCATGCTGAACATGTGATGCTCTCTTGAGGTTGGACTAATGTCAACAGATCATTCACAAGAGTGATCAATGCTATCTTTTTCCCATGCCCAAGCCTGTATCTGGACTGAAAAGGGTTTAGATAATCCACTTTTTCTAGCATGCTCCATAGTTGTCCAGTGACCAAGCATAGAGTATAGCCTAGGCAATAATTTTGAAGGGTGGCTGGGTTTGGAGAAGGCCTCTTAAGGAGTAGTACACTACAACTTCTTTTAAAGCTGCTGATACTACCTCCTCCAAAAGTTAAGTGTTGATAATCACTCAGAATCACCCCCGGCCTCTCAGAGGAGCCAGGAGGATTACACATGACTAAGAACATACCAGAAAGTATCCTGTCCACTTTCGCAGAGTCCACAGGCCAAAATGAGTTCCAAGCAATGTGGCAAGATGCTGCCTCAGTCACCACATCTGATTCTATCCACGAGTAGTCGAAGAGATTGGTGAACCTAGGTGACTTTCTTGGTAAGGTGTTGTGCAAACAGATCACCAAAGCCAGGCAAGAGTTCTGCCTCATGCCATCTCCCAAAAAAGGAATTGTCAAACTGACAGATTGCTAGCTGACAAACTGCTGATGCAATAAAAAAGTAGTAGCAATGCTTTGTCTCTCTTATTGCTGAAATATAAGCTCAAACTTGAGCTTGTCTTCCTCCTCCAGGGTTCCAGGCATCAGTTCAGCCACTTTATCTCCTGGAGCTCCTCTGTAAATGAAGGAGCCATTTGGGGTCAGTACACAGAAGCACCTGAAATTACTTGGAAAAAGCTATGGTGCCCAAAATTTCTAAGTCTTTTCTGATCCAGACCTCAGAGCCTGGAAGTTGAAGTCACTCAACACCAGAAAGTGAGGAGACTCCAACATCAGTCCAAAGGCCAGGTCAAGCAGTTCAGAGAGGATCCTGACAAATTTCCTAGCTTCTCCTTCTGAAGCAGCTGAACACCTTAAGAGTTCTTAAGATCAGAATTCCTAGTGACATATGGTGTCTTTAAGATCAATGCCAACCTTCTCCCTGGACCTGGCTGATGGAGAAGCCCAAATCCAACTGGACAGATTTCTGTGTGAGCAATATCTTCACCCTTACCCACCCAAAGTCTCAGTAATACATGCCAGGTCTGCATGTTTAATCCACTACCAGGTTATGAATGAATGAGGTCTTATTTGGATCTGACATTAACTATCAGAAGCCTGATACCAGGAACAACAGTGATTCAACCACTGGGACTCAGGTGTAAGAATACCAAGTTGCCTTCAGTTGTAATCACCCTTCCCCTGAAACAGCATGCTCAGCATCTCCCAACTTATTTGCCTCAATCCACCACAAACAGGATACTTATACTAGCCTCCCATTCCCTGCGTGGCTTCCAGTCACCCCAGCATTCCAATGCACATTCACAGGTTGCAATTTCACAATCATTTCACATAATGCACCAGGTGCCAGCAGGTTGGCAATGCCGGTTACACTGGCATCTCTCAACAGACACATTCATATTCCACCTATTAACACATTCCAGCCCTTCATACCCACAGTGGAAAGAACCATATGATTGTAGAACACCCTCTCATAATGCCAATCACCACAAGTATTCTCCCTTTCCTGTTCTCTCAGTTCAACTAAGAGAACAACCACTGGCCACTTCTCTTTATACCCAAATTGGACATCCTAGTCTGGTCCTGTGATGTAGCCTGCTGTCACTAGAGCATTGGAACTATCACTGTATGCTGAGAGCCACTTGGGAAGGGCGGTGGCAGCAGCCATCTCACTCAGACTGATCCTTCCACTCCACAAAGTCCAGGCAATACTAGCGTCCAACAATGTTGCCATCCCAGGGTCCTCCACCCTCAGTCACAGTCTTCTGAGTTCCACCTATTACTGGGGTCCCTGGTCCTCCAATGGAGCTATTCATACTTCCAAAGGTCTCCACCTTCAGGTGTTCTGTCTCCTCTACTGCTCTTTCCACTAGTAATGGCCACATATTCTGACTTCGCTGCTGTCACAACTTGACCAAGCAGTGCAGCTGAGCCAGCCACCTTATTCACCATTACCGCACCAGCCAGAAAGGGTTACAGCACTGGTAGATACTAACTGCATGGCTTGGCTTTGCCTTCAGCCTCATCTGTCACTATCAACTAGACTCAGCCGAGCCTTTGCTATTCTCTCATCTCAGGGCCTTTTCTGTATAGAATGGAGCTTTCATTCTCCATTTCAAAAGTCAAGAAAGGTGTGCTAATTATCTCTGCTGTGAAGCAGCAGCAAGATTTTGACATTTATCCTTTCCTTGTCTTCTTCCCAATTTTTGACTGTATTTCAGAAACTCAGAATTTCTCTTTTCCATAAAATTCCCCAAAGTTTAATAATCGTTTTTCTGAACCAGTTCATAACATCATAAATGACTTAGGTAGGCACTGGCTATCCAGGAGAGGGTAGGCTGTATTTTGATGAGCACCTCTGTAAAATTAAGATACGATTTTGTGCTGCAAAAAAGGTTTTGTTTTAATGAATGAAAAAAATTGCTTGGATCAAAAGATTAATGTGAAAATTATTTACATAATTTCACAGCCATGTTCAGAACATTTTCGTACATTACATTACATTTTTTACATGCCTCTCTGAGTCTTTTAGTATCCCTCAAATAACTATAGGCTTATCCTCTTCCTTAGGATCTGATCAAGAATGAAGGCATCACAGTGTCTTACCTCCTGCTGTCTCTGTTCTCCCTTGGCTTGCTATTCGTAGGAACATTGGTAAGCTGATGTCTTGGAAGTATTTAATTTCAGTTAAAGGGTTTGCTGAATAAATTGACAGTTTCTGAGTTTCCTCAGAATGATCTGCTGGTGCATTTGGTGAAAAATAAGCTCTAGTAAGCCCTAGCAATTTACGTATACATTTCCATAAACATTATTCTTTGGCAGATTCTGGAATTGGACAATTGTAGGGTGCTCTCTGTTACTTTTGCAAAAAAGTGTTAAAAAATCGTTTACTAAAGAGGGTAATTAGTTCTCTCAATAAGAGAGCTGGTGTGGGTAGTAAGATTAGCTTTGTTGTGCAATTCCTTTGGTTTTTTGCAAAGCTCTTATTCACCAGATTGATTGTGTGATCAAATAATAAGCTACTAGAGCAGGGTAATCATGTATATTAAAATGCAAAGGACGGGCTTCTAAATTGACGGTGAACTGTATAAAGTCCAAACCACTTCTACAATAAGACATTCCCTATTGTAGAACAAACGCAATCAGAATAAGCCCAGTGTGATTAGTCCAACTGAATTTTCTATAGAGTTCCACACCTTTTTCCCATTTAATTTTTAATTAAGAACAACAGCAAAGAAATGAAATGGTACAGGAAAATGTTCTTATAGTGTGATTATAGATGTACTCCAATATTAGCAAATTATTTTGAAGCAATTTATATTCAGTAAATATAAATGAGAATAATCGAATGTGAAAAGCTATTAGGTGTTAAATAGAAACTGGAATCAACCTAATTTACACAATTAAATTATTCCTCAGTCCTACTTCCGCAGTCCTAGATTTGACATATCTTGAATATTAGAATGTATGCTTTATAGTTTTAAAAATGTTATTCACCCCCATACACTTTATTCTATAATTTCAATATTCAGTATGTGGAATTTGTGAAGCTCCCTTATATTTCAAGTACCAAAATTTCCATTACTCTAAATTTTCTTGAGAATTCCACAATATGCAAGGCAGTATATTTTCTTAAAACTGGTCAGATTATATTTCAACTTTATAACATCTGCTTATCTGCTGTGGATGCCCCAAGAAACCAGTGTTTGGGAAATGGCTACACAATTCCTATGTCTGCTCCCTCCTTTCTTGCAGCTCCCCCTGTCCATACTCCATCCTACCAGGTTCACCATCACTAACTACATAAAATGAATTCAAGGAGGCTTGTGATTAAACCTAGATTGACAGCATTGTCAAAATTTGTTCCACCAAGTGCCAGGGGATTTTTCATTAAGTATGTATGAACAAAATTACAATCTGAGTTTTAGGAATGCTAAATGTTAAACCAACTACAGATTACTTTAGTTCTGCTGTCTACAACTTACGTATTACACTTAATTTGAGATGTCATAAAAGAGGAAGAAGACTTCCTTATTTAAAAAAAAAATTCACCTGTATCAGATTATGTTCTGAAAGGATTCACATCTGAACAATTATAAACATCACAAAAGAGTTATGGGGTTAAGAGTGTTTTATATGTTAAAAACAGTGATAACTACATCAGAGAGATAATTTCCCCTTGAGTAATATTGTTTCCCACCAAAAACATTCTTGTAGGTAAACTTTTTTTAGGAAAAGCAATAAAAATCAAGACAACTGATCTAAACAATGGCAGGACAATAAATAGAATGTTGGTTAATTTTCTACCAGACATTCACAATTAGGCTTTTTATATAGTAACTACAAATGTAGTACAGTATAATTCTTCATTGATTTCAGTAGCCCAGTTACTGTACAGAGCAATTATAAAAGGGAGAAGGTGTGGGTATACATCATGAGTGCTGATTTCTTATGGCCCTCGCTATAAGAATGTATCCACTTCCAGAGTCATATGTAAGAAATAGAATATAGTGCTAAGTTAAATAAGGCCTTTGTTTACAATAAATCTGAATGTTAATTTGGTCATGTAATTGCTTTCTTGTTGCAATAGCATACACTTCATTTAGCATCAAATTGGGAAGGACTGCATTATTTCCAAGGGTTAGGAAGTATTTACAGCAGAGCCTGAAAGCCCTTTAACAGTAATGCATTCTTCCAAAGCACACTTCAGGGGAAGGGAGAGCTTACTCACAGAATCCCCAATACCTCCCCAGTGACGATTGCCAAATTGTTAGGATGGGGAAACACTGAATTAAATCTGATGCACATTTATCACAGAGATCATCTTCAGTGTGAATCCAGAGTACAATTCTCTTTGCTTTTCATTTTTCTTTACTTTCAGATGGAGCTGAGTGTTAAATATGGTTCTGAGCATGTAAACAAAATATCCCCATTCCGCTTTTGCTGAAAGAAATTCCAAGGGCAAAAATAAACAAAAACAAAATGCGAATGGATGCCTAAAAAGAAGAAAAAAAACTTGATAATGAAATTGGGGGGAAAAAAACTGTGGCCAGGAATTAGGGAGCTGATTTTGGTTTTTCAATCTAAGGGTATAGTAGTACATACCTTTTTAATTCCGAATGATTTCATATAAATAAAGAAGTAGAGCATAGGTATCAGCAGTTGGGAAGCAGTGACATATTTTCCTCTACCCAGCAGGCAGCTGAGCTGTGGGGAAAAGTCAGCAGGGTACCATGGACCCACAGAAAAAGAGGTCAAGGGAGTTCATACACATCTTTAAAAGATGGCAGTTCTCAAGATCTGCCTATTCTTATTCTTTTTCCTTATTAAACAGAGCCTTGTCCCTGGTGCCAGGTTTTGGATGGAGACAGAATAATTCTTGATGGAGTTGGAAGTTGTTTGAACATTACATTTCTTGCAAGTTGCTTAGACACCTATTTCTCTAGCCCTTCATTCTTTTTTGGTTCTACTGGTCTTTGCAGATTTTTGAAATAATATAAAAGCCAGTTTATCAGAGGTAAGAAATGGAATAAGCCAACAGGAAGCCCTCTTTCAAACAACCTTCATCTCACTGGGGGAAAAGTTGTTTTCAGAATCCAAGAATGGTTCCTGCTGATGACCTAGTTCACATGTGGTGGTTGTGCATCTCATGACAGTGGATCACTATATAAAATAAGTGTAAGCATCTCTACATATTTTCCAGGGTCTCCACTATATTCAGTGGTGACTGTACTGAGAAACCACTAGGCATAAAGATTTCCACTTTGGGTGCAAAAATATAATAGACATTTCTCTTGTGAGATACAGAGCCACTGCATAGCATTTTCCTGTTCTCTTCCGCACAACCCATTGGCTTTCTATCTAGAAAGCATTAAATGCAGTATAGTTTATTTTCCCATAGGTTTGGCGTCTTGTGAAAGCACCTCCAGATCCCCCATTTCCCCTCCAAGAGGACAGGCGACAGTCTGTAAGCCGCCAACCATCGTTCACTTATTCTGAATGGACAGAAGACAAAAATGATGATGACTTCCTTGATTTAGATCCTGTACCAGAGTCACCAGTTTTTGACTGTGTGATGGATATAAAAGTAGAAACAGATCCAGCAACTCTTACAGTTAAATCTGTAGGGCTGCAGGAAAGGTAAGGTAGCATGTAAAGAAATGCAAGCAGTTGGTCACAGGCAGGGGAACCTTAGGGATTATGAATCAATCAACTTAATTTGGGCCAACTAAATTTATTTTCTTTCCAAAAAAGAAAAAAAACCCCTCAGCTCAATAATTAACTAATCCCCCATTAATATTTATGAATATACTCTATGAAAACCTGTTATAGATTTCTCTAACTGTATTAATCATGTTAAAGTGTTGAATTTTCTGGCTATTGAACAAAAGTAGATCTACCCTGGAAGAAAATAATCCTTTTGTTATTCATAGAGTTGATTTACCACTGATGCTTTTCCTGCAGTTTCTGATTTGTTTTGATAATTAGTGACAGCAAGAATATGTGTTTTGGGAGGATTACTTAACCCTATCCTCACATCGACTTTCTCAGGTATTATAGTCATTCCTCTATCGCTCCAAATCTTACAGTTATCTTCATGGGAATGCAGTGGAAAAAGCAGTGCATATTGCATTCATACCTCTTTTTTCTTGATTAGATGGATGATCTGGGAAAAAGCTTAGACAGGGAGGGTTATCTTCTAGGCCTCTGTGTCCCTGATCTTCAAGGCAGATTAGCTCAAGCGAATCTTAGAAAAGGGAAAAAAGTAATTCTACTTGTGAATTTAAAGCCTTAGACAAAATTTTGAGATAAATGATGTAAATTATTATGGTGTCAATATCTGACATTCTTCTGCAGTGGGCATTCTTCTAATAGGTAAATAGGCTTTCCCTGCCTTGCCCTCCAGCTGTATGAATCTCCATCCCCATAATTGCTAGCCAACATAGTGTTAGATCGATCTTGTTTATCATATCAAAGTATTTGTTTTAGCTAAAACATTTTTCTCTCCTAGTGGCATCAAACTCCCTATTATTTCAGCATTTTCCAATCAGAAGGATAATATAATACAGGTAGTCCTTGCTTAGCAACCACTTGTTCAACAACTGTTGATACAATGGCACTGAACGGGGAGACTTATGACTGGTCCTTGAAGTTGGAGCCATTGAAGTGTCCTCACAATCACGTGTTCACGATTTGGGTGCTTGGCAACCGGTGCACAATTATGACAGTCGGAGCATCCCGCAGTCATACAGTCACCATTTGCTACCTTCACTGACGGCTTCAAGCAAAGTCAGTGGGGAAGCTGGCAGAAAGTCACAAGTTGTGATCACATGACATCGTGCTTAACAACCGTGCATGATTCACTCAGCGACCACAACTGGAATTGCCATTGTAAATCGGCGAGATCACATGATTTCTCACTTTATGAGCATGTCACTTAGTGATGGAGTTGCTGGTCTCAATTGTGGTCATTAACTGAGGACTACCTGCATAATTTTTGGTGTCCACTAGATGTATTTGACTACAGTTCCCAGCCAGCCTGGTCATAGTTTATTGGCTGGATGTATGGGAAGGGAAATGTAATACCATACATCCAGAAGTCTGAAAAGTTGTATCAAGATATATCTTGAATTTTTCATGTTATCTAGAGTTTAGGCTGAATTTCAAGCAGCCATTGGACAATAGGTTGCCCCAAACAAATAAGGAAAGTGAGTGATTCATGCTGATTTATTTCATAGCCATTAACAGTTACCTCTGTATGTCCAGGCGAGGTTCAAATGTTTCGCTCACATTGGACATGTGTACTCCAGGCTGTTCTGAACAAGGGTTTGGCTATATCATGTCTCCAAGAGAACAGTCAGCTCAAGAATACCTCCAGACAGCATCAAATATTCTCACAGAGGAGGAGCTGCACCAGAAAGCTTTAGACTCTTTTGTTCTCCAGGCAGAGTTTTTTGTAAGTATTTTGATGTACCTTTTTCCAAAAGAAGAGTTTGTGGCAGTATTGCCCATACTGGAGCACTTCAGTTAGATTAGAGTTCTCACAATGCTAGTTAACAGAGCTGGCCAAAAGAGAATTTTGGAAATTGTAGATTAACATATCTGACTCATTTGTCAATAAACATCCTGCCAGATTATACACATAGCCAAAAATACAAGCAAATTGTAGAAGTGTTTGTTATGGCATGCAAAACAGTTCTGCCCGGATGAAGGATTGGCCTAATTTATATCTTTCCATGTTGATTAAAATAAATATGATTTCTTATATTTGTATACAAAAGCAGTGAACTGAAGAATAGTATAGTAATCTTCAGTAAAATTATCTGCAATTTAGAACAAAACCATCTTAAAAGTTTTTAGTAATTCCATTAAGCCTTGGGATAAATCTAGTGGGAACAAAGGAAAAAATATTTCTGAAGCCCTGAACTTAGATTTTGGCACTATGGCTCAACATCCCCCACCCCACTTCACGAATGGATTTCTGGAAACAGCCTTCCTTTTAGGACAGTATTCAACATGCACTTTAACTTGCTGTTTAAATCAATCCCTACATTTTGAATGTTTCAAACTTCTCTCATGGCCTGTTCTCCTTCCATCATCAGCAGGGAGGAACCATGAACAAATTTAGGATACTTGAGCTTGGTAACATGAAACAGCTCTGAAAGGAAGCAGAAGCAAACATTCCTTTCTGTATTTCATAAACATGCAATGACAAGAAGCCTACACAACAACATTCAGCATCTGCATCTCTCAGAATCAGAATTTTATTGATTTATTGGAGAGTGGGGGCATATAGTAAGTTCTGAAAGGATGGAAAGGTGACTTGAAGACTAGAAAAAGTGGCTGATGCAGGGAAGATTTCCTGGTAATGTAATTTCCTATGCTTAATCTCACTATATTTGCTTTTTGTTCTCCCTCTATTCCCCATCCCTGAATGGGGATGTGTGTGTCCTACTACAGTGTTTCCCAACTAGGGTAGTTCTTAGCCATGGCTATGGTGGCTGGAGAATTCTGGAGCTGAAGTATACAAGTCTGGAATTTACTCAGGTTGGGGGAAAAAACTGTTCTACAGTGTATACATTTTAATATATTCTCTGAATATATTCTCTGAATATAGTATCATCCCTCCATAAAGGTTGAAGCATTAAAGTCTCTGTTGAAATGTTGCAAGTTTCTTCCTTGTAGGCATCTCTACAACAGTGGCTTCCAGCCTCATTTGTATTATCAGATGGGACTTTGCCATCATCAAAACATGTACACTCATTTATAAATATCATAGAGCCATCTAGCTAAAATAAATTAAATTCATCAGTTTTACTTGTAAAGTGGTGCTTTTGATGACTTGCATTCCCCATGCCCTTCTCTTGAGTAATGAAGTGCATAAAATTAACATAGATTTATTTGATAAGTCAGAAATATAGGGGGATTTTTCATTTTTTTAACAGAGGAGTAACTACAGTATATAGTTTGAGCCCTTACAGGGTTATCCAGTGATCAACTAAGTTCTTAGAAAGTGCCAGTAGAACAAATATTGGTAGAACAAATATTAGACTCAAGTTTATAGCAAGACTCAGCCATGAAAATTCACTCTCTTTCAGTGCAATGTGTTGCACAGGAATATTATGATAAAACAAAGGGAGAGCCCCAGTGTTAGCTGCCTTTTCTTCCTGGAGAAAATATAGAATATAAATCTAAAAAAAAGCAAACAAAAACCCAATATTATAGTTTAATCCCATTCATACTAAAATAAAATAAAAAAGAGCATTAAATATATCTCACAGCTCCTTTACCACTTGAGTTGACAGCCTCATAAATACCACAAACACACTCCAACTCACTGGCTCCTCTGAGTCCCAAAGTTGACAACAGCCAGTAGTTGTTCTGCTATTATTGCTGCTGAACCCTATGGCACCTCTCAGGAGAAGACAATAATTATGCACTATGCAGGAGTTGTGGGGAAAATGTATTGTTTAGTATGATTTCCATAAGGCAATAATAGGCTAGATACAGAAGACTGACAATAGGAAGAAATATCCAACTCTTCCACCAAGTTCAAATCTTGAACTTCATACATGCTTAATTCCAGATTATTTGGGGCTAACTAGGATGTGGCTTTCTGTTCTCGATCTTCCCTCATATGGTGCTGCTGCTATTCCTACTCTAATGCCAAGTCCAACTTCCTGTTATGCCATTATGACATTGCCTGTTAATTCTCCTTTGTTGGCAATTTGAAGCTTGTTATCAAATGGGTGAGTGTTCTTTTTTCAGAAAGCATCAGCAGCCTTCTCCACAGAAAGATGAGTAAATAATGCCACTGCCTTCTCTCCTTCCCCTCCTAGAAACATTGCAAAGACAAAAAACCCAATCAACAAACTATAGATAGTGATGACACCCAATTATATTCAATGGGGAAGCAAAGCTTTGGATTGTTAAAGATTTTAATTCATCAAATTGAGAGCAGTTAGACTGTTTTTGTTAGTTCAGGGTCCAAAACAAATCTTGTCATGGTTACTCCACTGCATATTACTGAGAGCCAACAGTAGTTCATCCTGGGGATTACTGATTGAATCAATTCTCACAAGTATTATAATATTCTTTTTAAAAAATGCACACATTCCACCCATAATCACTTTTTAATTTAAAAGCTATTAGGACTCTATTATGTCTTGGAGTGCATTTCTTGCTGCCAATAATTCCTGTTCAAAATTTAATGGAATTAATAATCTATTAATAATTTCTGTGATGTATCTTTCAACAGGAAATCCCAATGAACTTTGTTGATCCAAAGGAATATGACATTCCAGGTTTGGTCCGAAAGAATCGCTACAAAACAATTCTCCCAAGTAAGCACATAGTAATCCATTTTTATCAAAGCATTTTGAACTACGTGTTAATTTATATGTTTGTGAACTTACAAAGAGTTTTAAACTTGATGGGATTTGCCATAGTGGTGACTGGTGGGTTATGATAGCTGTTTCCAATTGTTAGGCAAAATCACTGAGTCACAGAAGCATTTCTGAGTTGTTCACAAAACTCCCACAAAGAATATGGATTAGGGTTAGCAATGCAATACCTGTGACATTTCTAGGCAGTAACTGTGAATCTCTCAAATTGAATTTTGTGTGATTTCAATTTCCCTAAGGACTTGTAATATCTTGAGAGGTAAATTGGTCAAAATCTTCTGAGGTGTTACAATTCCATGCAATTTTGACCAATTTTTAGAATTTCTGTTTTGAAGGCATCCAGGTTATTGTGTGAGATCACATTATGGGGCATGAAAAGGTTGTTGTTTCCTGATATGGAAAATTATGGTTAAAATGTTATGTTGGATGTTTGTATTTTATTGTGTATTTGGTCTCAATAATTTGTTCTGGTTGTTGCTTTAATGGACTAAAATTATATTAACTGTTTAAAATGCTTCCTGAAATGTGCTTTTCTTCTAATTGAAATACATCTGTGCACTGAAACAGGCAAATGGATGTACTTTGGAGAAAGATATTACTCAGTGATAGAAAGGATGTAATTCAGAGGTCAAGTACATACTTTACAAGTGGAAGATATTGCATTCAATCCCTAGCATCTCTAGAAAGGGTTAGGAAGGATTTGAGTCTAAAATCTTGCAAATTCTTGCAAAATCTATAGCCCACACATACAGTAAGTGACCCATGACACTAGAGTCAGCAGTGTCTTTTGCCCAAATTTCAAATGTCCTCTGAAAGCAATCATACCTCAGGCAGGAATATGTTTCACCTTTGGCAAAATGGAAGAATGAGCAAAAGATGGAAGGGGGTAGCAAAAAGTGAGGAGGGATGCCAAAGAGTGAAGGGAATTAAAGAAAAAGAGCCTAGATTGGCAGAGAGGAGAGACAGAAAAGGATGCCAAAATGAGGGAGAAGTTAGTAGAAAGAAATGAGAAAAGAGAGTCTGCAAAGTTTGGCTGTGCCACCCACTGCAAAGTTTGGCCTTGCAGCATTGACATTCCTGATAGACTCTTCCTCCGAAAATTCAGCTATTAATAGGGTGAAACAATCAGCCATTGATGGAAAATATTAGTATAGATAGCCCTGAGCTAGATTGAAGACTGAGAGTAAGGAAGAATCTTTTATTTAAAAGTTTCATTTTCCTCTAAATCCCAGCATGGAATTTAAAGGGGGGGTGGGGGACGGGGGGACTATAGAATCAGCTCTCCTCAATCTGGTCTCCACCAGTTATATTAAACTAATTCCCAGAATCCCTAACCAGCTCAGAAATCTTATTTATTTGGAAGGCACCCAGCTGGGATAGTCTGCTGTAATTTTACAGAATTTTTCAAAGTCATTTTATCCTAGGGACGAATGAATTGCTATTCACAGGAATAAGAAAGGGAATAGGTCCTCTACTCTTCTTTAAAGCTGTAACCAGCCAGGCTTTGATCAGTTTTACAATAAACAGGGAATGTGGGTGGGATGGCAGCGTACTTAATAGCAAAGCATGAGTTACTTTCCTCCAGTAATGGCTACCGTGCTCCAGTGCCTTGTTCCTCTCTCTGATGTCCTCTTTTGTACATGAGGGAAAGAGTATGTGTGAGAATGGAATTAGCAGCAACAGAAGAGTTATCCAAGAGCCTAGAGTTGCCAGAGATTGAACTATTTCCGTGCAAAACTTTTGACTTTCTACCTTTAATACAACAGTTTCACTTTCCAAATTTATTTGATACGTAGAATTCCTTTGTGACTCATTTCCAAACCAAAAACTGAAGCATCAGAAAGGTTTGGTATGAAGTGGCTCACACTTAACTTACAGATGATGATGATGATGATGATTTTGCGGTTTATTTTCCTCATTCCTCTCCCAGCTTATATACAGATAAAGAATTTAACAGAGACACCTCCATTCAATTTATGTTTAACCAAGCACTTATGAAGGTGGATTTGGGAGTTAGGGTGGATGGTAATGGTGCCCTATAGTGATGTTCTTTATAAAACAAGAATCTTTTAACTAGAATATGAGTAAAGTAGTTAGCATGTTTTGTCTAGTGGCTTTCCCAGTCTGGTGCCTTTCCGATCTGTCCCTTCGTAACTGGAAGGTACTGAGTTGGAAAAGGTTGGCATATATTTATGAGGATTTGCTGTATTTTATTTCTGTAGTCCCCTTCATGGATCACTGCCTTGTCGTGGCGAAGGGGCTTGCGTAACTCAGTGAAG